AATATTATTAACTCAGTCTTTAGAGTGATTGTTAGAATTTCACTTGATTTCTTAATTTTGCTGGTGTTGAAGAAGGTTCGTTAGCTTATTCCAGTGTGGATACTTGTGAACGACCTTTCATCTGATTTATGATTTATAAGGGAAAACGTGGTCGTTAATTGCTAAAGGTTCATGAATAGAAAAAATCAATATGATAGTTTCCCTTTGTTTTGAACTGCTAACTAATTATTTTATCTTACATTTTAACCTTTGACATTATATCTGTTGTATGTCATTGACAAATATTTAAGAATATTGATGGTTTTATTTTTAAACAATCACGAGGGTCTCATTTTAATATGTTTTGCATCGTTACTATTATAAAATTTCAATGGGTTTAGCTAAAAATAGTTATGCATCAATCATGGTCTAAAGGAGCCAGATAGATTAAAACGAAATTGCTCATGTTCTAGAGTCTGAAGATAAATATATACTTTATTTGAGATATTAATAGTTAAAGATATTTCTTTAAATGCATGATTATCTATGTGTTTGGATTTTACAGAAGAAGTGTGGCACGATGGCAAAAGAATAAGTACCTCGAAAAGCACTCATAACTAAGGAAAAAGTTATGAGTCTAGATAAATAAAATAGATCCTACACCCGCCAGGCACATCCTGTTTTGCTATTAGAAAAAAAACTAAGGAAAACGTTTGGAGTATGGATAAGTATTTCAAAATTATTTATTAGTTTTTTTTGTCATCATTTTTTCCCCTATTTTTTGTGCTTTATTTACTTTTGTTGGAATTTTCTTTTTTTTTTTGTTTTAATTTTGCTTTATGCCTAAAAAAAGATTATTTATAATATTTGATTCACTTACTACAAGTAAACAATATATGTTTTTCGGTCAATATTTTAAGAATATACATGATTTAATTTCTATGGTTGAAAATAACTTTTATATACTTATATCCCTAAAAAGTAGGATAGTAGTCAATTGATCATATTAATTCGTATTTAGAATTTTTTTTTTGATATAGTAATACTCATAAACAAGAAGCATATTAGATAGTTGAACATATTAATTTGTATTTTAAATTACCTTATATGGCTAAGAAGTACTTGATCAAACTGATAACACTATTGGACTAAGTTAACTACAATCCATAATTATATCTGTACATAGACATATAGTAATGATTGTTGGGAGAGATTTGTCTTCCAAAAATGACCTACACGATTTGAAGACGAATTAATTAGAATAATGATTTCGAACACATGATGCACTATATTCCAAAAAAGAAAAAAAAAAACATATGACACTCCTAAATTTGGATCCCGAATGCCTAATATACCAAAAAATGAAAAAACTAAAACATATGACACTTTTCATAAGAAAATAATGGTACATTAATGTTATTCTAAAATATAGTAAAATCCGCACAACGTGTATGCATAATACTAGTTGCATATTAAATTGAAGTGAGGAAATTATTTCTCTTTGCTGCCAGTATTTGTATGGTAACACATTAAATGCTGCATTTGTGATGAAATTCAGATGGACCAACCTGCTAGACAACTACCCTTGAAGGTACAGATTTTAATGCATTTTCTGATACAAATCCAAGATTTGTCCCACATATGGAGGGCAGGGCACAACTCAATCAACCTCTCTGGTTCAATTTCAATTCTTTTTATTTAGTGCAAGCCACTGTATGGATTATATCTAACTTCTTAGTCCCTCTAATCTTTATCAATTTGTTTGTCATTAATTAAAAAGTGTTAGAAAATGTACATTCTAAAATTGGTTAGTTCTGAGTATATGCCTCCGTCCCAAAAACTAATCCGCATTGAGTTTTGAATTTTGTACTATTTTTAATATGAATTTGAAAACTCAATGTGGACTATTTTTGTGGCACGGAAGTAGTAATAATTTACTGCCAACCATCGAAGCAATTTGGCGGTGATTGGAAATGACATTACAGTATATATATATTTCCACACACCCTTTGAACACGAACCCTCATTTTTAGTTTCGAAATGTTAAATAATATGATCGTGTAAATTTAAAAATTATAAGATGTAAGAATATAAATAGAAGAATTAAAAAATACAAAAAATGGTTTGATATTCGCGCCGTTTTTTGAGGGTACATTCAGAGGGGGTTAAAAAAATCAAATTATAACTTGTCCAAACAGGTAAAACTATGACAGTTGGAGCTTCTTAGAATGACTGAAGGCATTAGTACTCTAAATAGATCAACTTCCAACATCATATATGTTTGTAGCCTCCTATGAGGTCTCTACTTTGTAAAACTTTTTGTCTATTACATAGTATTGCAGGATTATTTGTCGCTATTATTAGTATGGCAATCTTTCTTTTTTGGTTAGTTTTAACCTATTCGATGTGATCAATAATAGAAACAAAGACCCGCCATTGTATTTTTTTTAAAAAAAAAAAACTAAAATTAAGGAACTAGATTCAATAGAATAAACTTTTATTCCGACTTTATCAATGATCTCCCATGGTTTCTTCCATCTATAAATTACAAAAATGAAGAAGTTGATGTTGACATTAGATGATTTGGATTTGGAGAAATAATTGCTCACCGTTTCGGATGATGATAAACTAGTTTCTGTTGTGGATAAATTCATGACCACGTTTCGTATAGGATTTCTTTCTCATCACCAAATATTTTGTATCTTTAAATGCCAGAAAAATTAGCTAACTTTTGAAGCATGCATGGTATATATTGATCATAAGGTAAGATATATAAAATGTTTTTTTTAAAAAAAGGTTATACAAAATGGACATCAGGGAACTGAACAGTTCAATGATGTTCGGATGAGCTTCAATCTTTAAGATTTTGTTTTCAGATACGAGAAGTTAAAATTGTACTACGGATTAGAAAGACATGGCGAGAAGGGAAGATATAAGTACTAATCAAATAGAGCATTGATCTTGTCATTAATTCGAGTACTCTTCTTTTGATCTAATCTCGCGTTGAATCCTACGATAAAACAACTCTTTGATTTATACTTTATAATTTCAAAATTATACACTACCTTTGTCCTACAAAAATAGTCCACATTGAGTTTTTAAATTTGTACTAAAAACAGTACAAAACTCAAAAATCAATGTGAACTATTTTGGTGGGACGGAGGGAGTATCATATTATGTATCTAGAACAACGTTCAATAAAAAAGGATTTTAAGACACGCTGAGAGTGAAAGTTCTTAAAGATATGAATGATTACTTCTTACTTTATTTCATACTTTTGAAGAGTGAGATTACTGATTTTATGTGGCGGAGGCAATCGGTTTTCCAAAAAGAGAGTTTCTTTTGAAAATATATTAAGTTTTTTTGGCATTAATACCTTTTCTTCCTTTAGCTTATTTTTCTGTTTGTTGAAGTAGAGTAATTGAACTAGGAAGGTACAGCCTATTAATCACTTTTCATTGCCTCACTAGCAGTGGATTAATGTTCTATCATTATTTTTCTGTTGGTTGAAGTAGAGTAATGGAACACCTAATAATAAGTACACCCTGTCAATCACTTGTGATTTTCTCAACAATTTTTGGATTAACATTCGATATATAAGCTAATTATCATGATTTTTTTTTTTTTGGTGGTATATCACGTAGTTACCTCTCCCTGTAATCCCCATTCCTTTCCCCTTGTCCATTCTTTTCTCTAGATGTTTTTAACAAATGGAAAAGGCATATAGTTGATCAACAATAATGCCGGATATAATCGTGAGCTAACCATGATGGTTTGTCATATGTACACTTTTTGCCGAGAACCCATGAATAAAAATCTTCTGCTATACTTCCGCTGTCCCAAAATTATTGTCTAATTTGAGATTTTACTCTTCGTACAATTTGAACTAGAAATAAAAACTCAAACTAGATAATAATTATGGGACGGATGGAGTAAAATTTACTAATCAATTTTTTTCTCACTATTTTAGTGTTTTTTTCCCCTTCAATTTCCACGTGAAGCTAAACCATAATTCAACGGATTATGGCCCAACGTGCTATTGCAGGTGAGTGAGGTCGTACATAGTTCTCAATACGGTCGTTCACAACCATCAATTGGACCATTTGAGGAGACACATGCATTAAATAATTAACTCCCTAATGTCCCTAAAACTCAAACCTCACCTTGTACCTCAGTAGTTGACACAATATCAATGTCGAGATAACAACAAATCTTAACGATAACAACGCACTTAGTGTCTGCCTGCAACGTTCTTTCACCGTATAATTTTTCTGTTCGAAATGTAAAAAGACATATTAATAACAATGTAAAAGAATACATTAGAATAGACAATATAGGAATTAAAAATGTTGATGAAATCTTTTAGTGAATGTGGTAACTCTTAAAAAAAAAAAAAACAAAACAAAACAGAAAAAACACAGAAACTATGTTTCTCATTTTTTTCCTCCTTAGTGCTTTCCAATTTCGTTGGTGTTCGAGGGTTAAGATGTGTATAGACATGCTTCCATATTTCAACAAAGAGAGACTGTTTAAGTACAGGTCTAAGATATATTGGTATATTTGTTGTGATTTTTAAAGTGTTCACTGAGATAAAAAAGAAGTGTCAAAATTTTACTCACTTTCTTTTTATCTAGTCAATTATTAACAGTTTAACACAAATGTAAAAGAAATGCCGTCATAACCCTTCCAACTCATTTGCAATGTACAAAAAAACTTAACAAAAACACACACATGATCAGTCACACACATAAATGAATCCTATCCGCACATTTCTGCATACTCACGAGAAATCACTTTAATTTGTTCCAAATTTTACATGGACTCAGTCCTATCCTATGTACACACTGATATGATTTTAAATACAACTGCATATTCATCCATATGACCATACAACCAATTACTACTCAACTACCAGTACAGGCGTGGGGGGGCCTTCGTATTTACTGATTTGTGCTGCCACTCTTTAACTCTCCTTTTGTATTTATATTCTATGCCCTTCCCTTCTTTCTTTTGCCATATTACAACAGTTTGTTTTAAACAATCAGAAGACATTATCATCATCCCCAATGGCTCCCTCTATTGCTCTCTTCTTCACTTTGGTTCTTCTTACCGGGATTCAAGTTTCCACTAGCCATCTCCTCAAGGGCTCTGTCACTTGCCTCGATTGCAATGCTCACGATGACCTATCGGGTACTTTTTGTGTTTTGATTCGGTATTCTTTGTTTTCAATACATTTTTCTTTTATACAAATTCGTTTACATCATTTCATAATGTACAAATTTAAACTGAATTCTAAACATTATCTTGCGTATGGCATGTTCCACCTATTGCATGTGTGTTATGAATATATGTTACTCATGTGGTTTTAGTGTAGAAGATCCGTGCTATTATAGTAGTCTTAGTCATCATAATATTATAAGGGTCATGTCGCCAAACTATAGTCGTGTCACTAATTTAATTTCTTGATAATTTTGTCCTGCAATTACCTTTTTACCCCCATTATTATAGTGGCCACACTAACTAAAATAGGAAGAACTGTACTTTTGTGTGTTTCTATTTTCAGGCATAAAGGTCCTAATCAAGTGTAGCAATGTGAGAAAAATGGTTGTGGCGACTACAACGGAAGAGGGTACCTTCGAGACTGACCTCCCAAAGGACTCCACAACTAAAACTACTACACCAAATTGCCTTGCCAAGATCCTTGGAGGACCTAGCTTACTTTACACCTCAGGAACAAAGACAATTTCTAGGGTCACAAAGCTTAAGGAGCATGATGAGTACTACACAAATTCACAGCCTCTCAATTTCTACACATCATGCCCTTCTAAACAGGAAGCAAAATGCGCATCCATGGCGGACAAGGAGTTTGGTTCATCCAAGACTGTTGATGTCCCTCTGCCAAGGGAATGGGGACTTGCACCATCTAGCTATTACTTCCCATTCATCCCCATCATTGGTATTCCTTGAATTGATGATGAAGATTATGCTTTTAAGTTTTCTGGGTGAAATCCTTGATGTTTTAATCAGTAGCCTAAACTATTATTATATGTCTGTTATTTGGGTAGAAAGTTAAGAAAAAAAGACTTGTGAGAGTTGGGTGTGTCATTATTACCATTATTATTATATCTTTTACTGTTTGTGCGTTGTGTAGGGAACGTGTATTATATATAAATTACTATAGTTTTGTCTCTTTTTTGTTTCAATATATACTGAGAAATTCGTATGGTGGGAAGACCTTTTATCTAAATCTTTTACTGTCAATTATTACCCACCTCTACAAAATAAATATCTGTCCTAGACATAATCCGTGATCGACCTACTAAATTCAATACTCTCTTTTCTATGACTGTATCTTTTACTATACTTACAGTGAACGTGCCAATTCTTCTACCATTTTGCTTCAAATTAGCTTAATGAGTTTAGAAGTGGCATCAATTTTTAGAACGAGGGCATTATTTAGAAAGATAACTTCGGCGCAATTCGTGTGGTTTTATCATATTTCATTTATATTCTAAATAGTTCCATAAGAGATATAGAATAGTACTAAATTACACGACATTGATCAAGATGATAAACTTTCTGAGCACAACATAATCTACTATACATCATCAATTATTCGACTGTTATTTGTCAGTGACGCCAATAATTGATCAATGTATTTGTCAAAATCGCTCAATAAATGATTAGATTGATTTTCTGATTTGGTTTGTTACCTCTGATGGCAATGCACGAGAAATGAAGGGAAGCTTTTTGAGGTTTTGCCCTATTTAGGCATTGACGAAGACCTAAAATATGATTGGTAACAAGAATTTACTCTCCCTCCAAAGTGCATGTGTCTTAGAAACTAACAGAAGGGCCACGAAGATATCATCAAACTAGTCAAATTCAAAAGAAAAGAAAAAAAAAAAAAAAGACCAAAATAACTCCAACAATGAATTTATAATTTGGCCGAAACCATAATAACATTATTATGGATGATAGTCTCTAGACTTGGTGTTTGTAGATTTTTTTTATGTTCCTTATATTTCAAAATTAAAAAAAAAAAATGCTCCTTATTTTGAAGGTTTTAATCAATCAGTCTATAATTAAAGATCGATCTTAAACGGTTTACTCTAGTGTTACCTATATAGTCTTTTTCAACTTGAACTTTTTGGCCCAGAATAATACTATTTGCATTTATCATTTTCTTTTTCTTATATTATTGTATGCATGTATTAGATCAATGGTCGCAACTTACTCGAATTGGAGTCAGGTAGGGCCTTTGGTATGCATTATCCTCTAAATCGCAATCGACCGATGATAATGGCAAAACCAAAGTGCGGCATCATGTGACTTGTGGCCAGAAAGTTATGCATGACTTGAAAGTCAATCTTGGTCAACAAGAAGTCAATTCTGATGAGGAGGGAAGGAAAGAAGTGGAAAGAGGGAAAGAGATTCTTTTTGTCCGTATACATAGAGAATAGGTCAATTCCCTTGCCCATAAGTTGTGTTCAAGACGACTTCTTCAATTAATTTGGTCGAGATCTCGACATAAGGTTCAATTTGACCTGGTTTTTGACACTAAATATGTTTAGTTTTATTTTCAACGTTTCATGCACGTGTTTTGGCTTAGGGCCCAACTAATGTGGAAACTAAAACCCTATTCTCCAATAGCTACAAGTATTTCTATTTTTTTAAGGTAGATCTAACTATTTCACTCTATGTACTTAACTCCTTATACATTATTAGTTACATTCTCTTTCATTTTCACTGTTATCCTTCCACTTTTTATAGCCTATGGTATTGATGAAAATTATTTACTTTTCTACTTTATTTTTTTAATCTTTTGTATAATTCTAATATATATAATTAAGGTCATTATAAGTATTACACAGGTGACTAAATAAGTTCACAATCATTATTCTTTTAGTTTATGCGTATAGCCGAATAATGGTAAAAAACATGAAGGTGGTATAGATTGCAAATTTAAAAACTTTTTATATCGAAGATGAGACTTCTTTCATCCTCCTTGAGTAGAGGAGTTACATTGCTTTTTCTCTCCCCTTTTTTGTGAACGAATTGGGTTAAAAGATTTGTTTCAATCTTTTTTGTTCCATCTATTGCCTGCTTGTTTTGGGTTGAATGTTCGGGTGTCTATTAAATTTTAAAGTTCTTTAAATGCTTAGAAGAAATTGAGTAACTGCCTCTTTGGACTGTTACCTCGGGGTATGTTTTATAGTACGGTTCTCTCACAAATTTCAAAACAAATGTTTGGACTATAACTTTTTCAAAATATTTTCTTCGTTTTAAAATAATTGTTCAATTTTAATTTTTATTTTAATACAAGATATATTAAAAATAATTAAAACTGAGTAATTATTTAAAATAGAAAATATGATTTCGCACTTAATTACAACTGCCACTATCGGATCAGTGATCATCGGTGGTGGTGCATGACCACGGCCAGGGGGTTTGGAGGTGCCCTCGCACGGGTGGTTTCGTCAAATATACATCTTTTTATTTAAACCAATGCCGAACCTATTCAAATGATGACTTCATAACAATGATCGTACGGAGGGCGTTAATTTTCGACATGATAAAATGATTTTACAGAAACAACACGACATGACACAACATGATTGATATGATTTGCATTTTTATTGCATTTTTGTTCCGAAAACATTTATGAATCTTGTTAAATATATAAGTCAAAACTGAATCGATAACTTGAATTGGCTTTATAATTTTATTTTATTTTTTGGTCCCCCTAAACTATATAAAAATTTTGGAGGTACGGTATTATTTCATGAGTACTGTTGTAGTTCAATTCAATTTCAACTACCAATTCTTTCAATTCCACGAAGATTGAGTCTTAATAAATTATTCGATGAGATGAAATTTTAGATTTTGATGACAACAATGACTGACTGAGGGAGTCAAAATAAATTTTTCTAACAAAGTGCTCTGAAACATGGGGGCATGATCGCACCTGCATGTGCCCTATCTCCGACACTAAATGAATAATGAATATATGGTCCGACACTAGGTGCATTCTACGTTTACGCGAAGAACTTTTTTTCTTAATTTCCACGAAACCATAATTACAAGTGGACTTTTTTTCCAAATAGGGCTCCCAATAAATGTTCGTGATCATATGTTCTCAGGATTATTTAATTTGGTTGAAACTCAGATGCAAATCATGACTAAATCCATTCCTCTTTCATTAAAATTTCTTTTAAAAGCACTATCAATCTCCCAAGATATATCTATCACCATCATCATCACCACCCACATTTATCAAATCAGACCTCATCTTTTAGGCAAGTTTGAAAGTTCTACGCAATTTCTTCTGTCCTTCGTTGTCGTACTTTGAGAAGAAAACAGAAATGCTTTCATCATGGGAAAACTCCTTGGCTATTGATCGTCTCCTTACCGGTCACTATCTCTACCGGCGGCCGTCGATCGAATGCTCGAAAACTTCCCGAAACGGCGTAAACCCTGCACAAGCTCACCTCATGCCTCAACTGAAAAACCAAGAAAAAGAAAAGTCAATATATTAGTTCCTCTCCAAAAATACAAAAAAAAAAAAAAAAAAAAATCCTTTATAAAACCATCACTTTAAGCCCTCGTGGGGATTTGAGAATGAAGTAATCCGAACTTGAGATTAATAACAACTTTAATTTAAGCTTGTAACAAGAAATCTTAATTATCAATGTATCTGTCAAAAAAATAATAGTCCACATTTATTTTTGAATTATGTATTATTTTTAAGACAAATCTCTAAACTCAAGGTGGAATTTTTTTTTTTTTTTGACAGATAGAATATGAAATAGTAAAGAACTTACAATCATTACTTCGGGACGGAAGCCAGAAGGAATACACTTTAGTCATATTAATAGAGAAAATCGACGACACAAGCGCACTAAAACAGGAAAATCCAACATTAGAATAATCACCTTAGGGACAACATGAGTAGATGATGAGGAAGGCAGTGTTTCAACGTTGATGGCTCTATACTCGTTCATTTTCCACTTAGTTTTTCTTCCAGTTGGTGCTTTTCCTTTGTAAAAAACCAAGCTCTTCTTCACCCCAATAACTCTACTATGACTAGAATACACATAACTCGGAGAACCAGTTGCTTTCCAGTAACCCGAATTCGTCGTCCGGCTCGGCCTTCCTCCGCGCGCTTCTCTCTCTTGTCTCGGTACGAAAAAGAACCATTGCTCAGTATCTTTGTTGCAGTATTCTCCCGCAAGTTCTTGAATCATACCCACACAGACAGAAATAAAAAGGCGGAAATATCAAACACAACACTAATGAAAACGAACCCTATATATAAAGATTGAATTTTTTTCGAAAACATGAAGAAATGATGAGAAAATGAAGAGAAGGGTTAACGAACTTGGAAGTTGCCATGGCTCTAATGAATAAATGTTGATAACTGGGATGACTTTGTGAAGCTCTTGTAATCTGTTATCTTCAAGCTTGTTGTTCAGATAAAAGGTAACTAATTCTTCTTCAGTTGGGTAAAATCTAAATCCTGGAACAAGAGGGACTTGTTCAATAATGGTATCGGCCTGTTGCTTTTCTTGTTGCATTTTGTCTCCAAAAGAATTAAGAAAAATATAAATGTGAGGAGATATTGAAGATTTTTTTTTAAGTTGATAAACACAAGTACATTATCATTTCTATTTATAAGGAGAAAGAAGTCAAGAAACCCGTGTGAAGGCTCGGTGGGACAAGGTCGTAGGGCTAGAGGGTCCAACTCTGCCTATATTGAATGTGATTTTTTTTCTCAATCTACACGTAACTTTGTTTTTCTTTTTCCTTCCTTCTTTTTGCTTTTGCTTTTGGCACAGAACTATACTTGAAATAAGCATACCATACTCAAATGAATCTACACTAAATCGGAATCGTTTAACTTAATTAGTTAATTATAACTTTGTATCTCAAAAGTCATAAATTATTTCACATGTGAATCAATCTGGAAAAAAAAAAGTTCGTTACTAGTTCTGCCAAAGCTCCCTAGAGAGCAAAAATAAGAGGTTATTAGTTCTGCCTCTTATTAATTAAGAGTATAACGTATCATAACAAATTGAACATGAGGCTACTAGAGAATAATAAGTATGGATTGGTTTGTGAAATTTCAGTATCATCTCGTGTATTGTATCCAAAAGAAAATGATTGAATGTTTTATTGTCATGCGTGATCTTAATTATGTTGTTAGAATACAATTTGTTCAAGAGTTCTCATTCACAAAATGTGATAAGAGTTAAATTTTTAGGTTTCTTGCTCCTTCATTGTATTAAAAAAAGAAAGTAATGAGTAAATATTTGTTAGAAGACATTTTCATAATATTTTAGTTGAAATTAGTATGATTCTATATTTTGTGATCGTTTGGACTTATTTCAAGATTCCTGACTAGACGGGTGATTTACTCACGGCTTTATTGTAGGAAGGAAGTAATAAAGATTTGATACACTATAAACGCGCTAACAGAAAGAAAATGAAGTGACAAAGATCGATGTTGCTGTGTGAGGAAAATGCCAAAGATCGGATGTAACCCCATCCAATTAAAATAGATGATCTTTTTGGTTATTGAAAAAATCAACTCTGAAATAGTCAGCCGATTACCTCCTCCTCCTCCTCCTCTCCACAATCCAATAATCCGAATCTCTACCAAAACTTTTCGCTGTGACAATTTGATGTGAAGGGTTTTCTTATTATTATTTGCCCTTTTTTTTTTTCTTTCTCAGAGATTGTAACTGTCTTAATTATATTTATTATTATACTCCCTTGTTACGTTGTATCAGAAATGTTAGTCTCTATGAGATTCATATCATCTAAAATTATTATAAATTGATTAATTGATATGTTACGCTATTCAAATTTTAAATTAAAAGATTCAGTCATCAAATATTATTATTTTTCTGCTTCTCGGAATATTAAAGCGGAACGAAGGGACTACAATTTCCTTCCATTATCATTTCCTTCTATTTGTTTTATGTGATAAAAGTCTTAAAACACTGAATTAGGAAAATAATGCTTGCATCCCTTTTAAATTAATTTTAAATGAGAATGCCTTGCTAGTATATGGAGAAAAAAGAAAATTTAACCCCTCCATTGCTAAATGTGAGTCATGTTTGGGTCCGAGGGAAGAAGTAATTAGGTTACTTTTTGTATGAACAACTTGAAACCCCCTCTCATATTGCATTGTCTATTGCGTTATTAATAAACCGGTGCCAAATTAATGCACGCAAATGCAAATTTTCTACTCAGCCATTTGTCTATTATTACTTGGTTGGTACTTGATAGCCTTGAAATACCAGTACCAGAGAGGCCAATGGACAAAAGTCAATCACACGAAGAATAATAAACCACACAAAGAAATTAATTATTGATACCTCTATGAAACAAACGCATCTAAATTTCAATATACTTCCTCCCTTTCAAAATAATTGCCAAATTTACATTTTCAATTTCAATACACTTATCAAGAACAACTATACAAATGTGATTTTTATTGTAGTTTTGTATCTTCAGAAACTAGGAGTACAACTATACAAAGTTGACAACCTCTTCGAAGCTCAACCAGAATGTCAGTCTAAGCTCACTTTTACTACTCTCCAAAAATCAGCAGGTACATGTATATTTTTAATTTTATATCTGTTAACATCAAGGTATAATCAATGAGTGAATTACATGTTAATTATGGTAAAAAAATTACTTTCTTCATTCCAGAAGAACAATTCACATTGAATTTTGATATTTGTAATGTAGACTAAAAACAGTACAAATCTCATAATCAATGTGGACTAGTTTTTTGGGATAAAGAGAGTACAACTAAAAGTCTGATATTTAGGATTCCCATGTGCCCAAATCCATTAGAATGGAAAATGTCAAAACAATATTGCTATCTTTATAGGAAAATAAGTATGTATTGAAAACCATATAGTGAGAAAAAAATAGTAAATATGTGCCCGTATTTTGTTGGTACTTTGTCGTTGATATTTTATCTTTTCTTTAAAGTTACATTTTTACCCATAATTATTAAGTACACATATGTCAGCATGTCTTTTTATTATATTTTGTCATTGTCTCTATTGTTACTGCTTTATAATTAGTCTTTCTCTGTCATATAACATTTCAAATTTATCGTACTTCTTAGCAATAGCGTTAGAAACAATCTCTTATTCTTTTTTATAATTAGTCTGTCTCTGTCATATAACATTTCAAATTTATCGTACTTCTTAGCAATAGTGTTACAAACAATGTCGTATTCTTTTTTATTATATATACTGAGGAAGTGGTAATTCGGTTTGATTACATCATAGCTCCTTGAGAAGCTAAGGAGTTTTTTTTTTTTTTTTGAAAATGAGAAGCTGAGTTATCGTACTTCTTAGCAATAGTGTTACAAACAATTTCATATTCTTTTTTATTATATATACTGAGGAAGTGATAATTCACTTTGATTACATCCTAGCTCCTTGAGAAGCTAAGGAGTTTTTTTTTTTTTCATATTGCAGGGTGTCTAACGTTGGCAACAGTAACTAATCACCCTCGCTCATGGTAGACACCTCGATGGGTGGGAGATATGGCCAAAGAAGTAAAGATTGCTCCATGCTCATAGCGAGTTTCAAACCCTCGACCTACGGTTAAGAGTGGAGGAGTTCTTACCACTCTACCACAACCCCTTTAGTTAGTTAAGGAGTTAAAATAAAGCTTGTCTAGAACTAAGGTCGGGGTTATTATAAACAATCTCGTCGTATTCTAAACAATGATCTCATTGAAAACGTGGTACCATGGGCTCATTATTCATCATGGACTGTTTGATGTCGGCCCTTTAACTCAGCTCTCGTACTAGAGAATTAGAAATGTTCATAATAAATCCACTTTTACTGCCCCCAATCTACTAACAGCAATAAGGCCTGTCAAACCAGTTAATATATGGGATACCCGGAGCAACCTAATTGGGGAACTCCTAGATTAGACCACACGCGCCCACAACAACCCATTTGCATCTAACTTTTTGTTAATTACAAAACTGCCACCGCTTCAAATAAAAAATATAAATAGTCACAATTTTTTTTAAAAAACAAAAAAAAAATTCACAAAAATCATAAACGAATCGTCAAAATCTCCATCAATCCTCTGGCGATTTTTCACTCCAGATCTCCGGCGTAACAGCCTCCGACGAATTTTCTCCCCAATCCTCAAGATTTCATCCTCTAAATCTGTTAGAAACATCTCCCCGGTCGTTACAAAGTGCACTTCACACCTTCGTCCTATGAATTTTGTACTGGAATTTTCAAAAACTCCGTTCAGTGAATCTTCTGACGGTGAGAAACACAAAATCAAGCCCGCGATATCACTGTAAGTATCCCTTTTCTCAAAATGAACGTTACTTTATTCAGATCTGGATTTTTTTTTTTTAAGAATTAGAATTTTGATGTTCCTTGAGATTTATTTTTAATCTAGATCTCGAGACTCACAGCCGAAGGATGAGAATCAGACCACCTAAAATTGCTACGCCAGAGACTACACCAGAGCCTAGCCCAACGTCATCATCAGTCTCAAGCGTAGATGACAAGTATTGTTTTTCCTGAGTAAGTTTTTTAGAGATTCAGATGTTTTTTTCATCCTATATGCTTTGATACTCATCCTGTATGATTTGATGCTCATCTTGACAGAGAATTATTATGTTGTTCATCATGTATGCTTTAAGGCTCATCCTGTATGCTTTTACGCTCATCATGTATGATTCGACGCTCATCTTGACGGAGAATTGTTAGGTTGTTCATCATGTATGCTTCGACGCTCATTCTGTATGCTTTGATGCTCATCCTGTATGCTTTGATGCTCATCTTGATAGAGAAATATTAGGTTGTTCACCCTATATGCTTCGATATTCATCCTGTATGCTTCGATGCTCATCCTATATGCTTTGATGCTCATCTTGACAGAGAATGTGAGGTTGCTCATCCTGTATGCTTTAATGTTCATTCTGTATGCTTCGATGCTCATCCTGTATGCTTCGATGCTCATCTTGACAGAAAATGTTAGCTTGTAATCATGCATGCTTTGATACTCATCTTGTATACTTTGATGTTGATTTCTGGATATATATTCACTATCTATCATTAAATGTTCATTGTGAAACTGTTGATTTTCATCCTGTGAGAGTCTTGTTCATTTACTTCGAGTTATTGCTCGTCCTGTGAAGCTCATTTTTTCATTTTATAGATAGGAATGTTGTTATTCATCTTATATTACTATGAATGTTGTCATGTAACAGAGAGCGATATAAGAATGTGAGGAGAAGCAATACAGACAAGAGTCTCCCTTCTACATAACCCATTGAAGGGCACAGTAATTCACTGTCTCAACAAGAGAATGTTGAAACACAAAACAAAGCCTAATCAACTACATCTACCGCCAAAGAGAGAAAAAGGAAGAGGAAAGATGGCGATGATGATCTTGCAGGACAAAAAATAGAAAAGAAACAAACAGCAGATTCATTGTGTGAATAAGCCAGTGAAGAGAAAGAAGATTCATCGTCTGAACAAGCCACTGAAATGTCTGAAATGTCTTTTGATCA